TTGTATTCAGAGAGAGACTCTAAGAAGTAATGGAATCACTGAGTGTAAGTCGAGTCGGCTAGTAGACTTCACGGTAGTACAGAAAAAAAGGCAGCAAGGTGGTCTTCTTATTACAGGAAATACGGTGTACATTGTCTCGGGCTGTTCAGTTTCACAGTGAAGAGTCCTATAATCCCCAGCCCTGGGGTTTTGACGGAGTGAGGCAAGGCCCACAGCTGGAACAGTAGGCTCTCTCTCACCACCCCTCCCTGTGGCTTTAGCCCAGTTTCTGCGTGCCTCTGCCTTCAGGTCCTGAGGCCCTACAGGGGTCCAGGGGCAATTTAGCCCAACTGACACTTTGAATCCCCTCAGCAGGTGCCCGTATGTTATCTTTTCCCACTTTGCTTGGTCAGGTGCCAGTTTCCAAGTATTTGTTAGTTATTTTTCTTTTCCAGTGATTTATTGACCTTCCTTGTCTGCTGCCATCACCTCACCGTTCTCACCTTTGCCTTTATATTTGTACTTCTTAAAATCCTTTACCATCAACTCAGTAAGGTTTCCAGAGGGGGAAAAAACCCAAATGCTGAGAACATATAATGTCTAACTGAAATAGTCACGAACAGGGAGAAAGAAAGGGTGCTAGGTGCTAAAAGATAGTGGGTAGGAACCTCTAGTCCAGGGGTTAGCAAATTACTGTCTGCTGGCCAGACCTGGCCCATGGCCTGCTTTTGTGTGACCCATGAGCTGAGCCTGGTTTCTACACTTTTACAAGGTTGTAAAACAGAACAAAACGCAAGAGGGATATGTGATAGGAGCCATATGTGGCCAACAAAGCCTAAGTAATTATCTGGCTCTTTACAGAAAAATCCTGCTGACCCGCCCCTAAGTGCAGTGGTTCTCAACTTGGGAGTTTTAGAAACATACTGAGGCCAGTTCCCACTCTGCACCATTAGCGAGAGTTCTGAGGGGTGAGGCTCAGGAAGAGGGTGATTTTAATGTTTAGCCAGAGTACTATGAAAAGTCCCCCTACTGAAAAATAATATTATCCACTACCCCAAAGCACCACCACTGCTACCAGCAACAACAACTTAAGTCCCTGAAAACCTCCAAAGACATATGTGGCTATTTGATAAATTTCTATGCTTCTTTTTCTGTGTATTTTCTTGGCAATATTATATGTGCACAGAAATTGTTTCTGGAAGTTTTACCATGAAAGCAGAAATTCTCTTGTCTCTCCCATTCTGTAGGAACAATCTCTTTAAATTTTTTGGCTGATTCTTTTCTCCTCAGTTTTACATAATATGTTTAAATTGCTTCTTCAGGATTTTTCAATTTTAGAAAATACATATTTCGTCCCACCACAGAAAAAGATGTCACTTTCTTGTATACCCTCACCCTACCACACACATGCAAGCTTCCTATCCCATACTCTGTCCTTTTTAATTTAATACGTTTTTGTTAGAATATACATTTTGTTAAATGTGTTCATTAGTATGTAAATACTATTCACAGCTGAGCAACATTGTTTCCAGTGATTCTGTTCCTGCACACTTTTACATTTTTTCTGAAGTTAGTGATTATCTTGCTTTTTATCTCTTTCCTTAGTTTTTCATATGCATATTGCTATTTTAATACCAAATTGTTGCCAGTTGTGTAGAGCTCCTGTCAGTAAAGACATTATATATTATATCAGTCTCATCTTTGTGCAACAAAGCACATAGCTGTCATCATGGAGTCTTTCTTAACCTTTCTCTGGGATTTCCTTTGCGTCTGCGTTGTGTGAAGTCCTCTGGTTTCTAGAGCCCACATCTTCCTCTTTTTTGGTTTAAGACTTCATCTTGGAATATATCCTTCAGTAACTTTCTGAGAAAGAGTGCGTGGGAGATCTCAAACACATGAGATGCTGTATGTCTGAAAATGTCATTATTTCATCTGCACATTATTGATAATTTGCTTGCAAATAAAATTCCAGGTTGGAATTTATTTTCCTTTATATTTTGATGGCCTCATTCCACTGTTACCCAGCTTTCGGTCTTGTTGTGTGAACAGTCATTCTAGCTTCTTATTTTGTGATGTGGCAGCTTGTATTTTCCAAATATAGATGCAAAATATCTTTTATCTCACATGCTCTTCTACAACGTGAACTTTTCACCCTCCCACTGACGTGTGTGTGCTTCTCCCTTGAACTGAAGTGGCTAGTGATTTGCTTATGATCAATACAATGTGGGAGAAGTGATGGTGAGGGAACTTTGAGGTTAGGTTAGAAAAACCAATGTACTCCCACCTTGTTTGTGGGGACACTCATTTATGGAACCCTGATTTGCACTGTAAGAGTTTGAATACCCTAGTGGGCAGGGGTGAGATAGGGGTGGGGGATTAAGAGGTACAAAATACTATCTATAAAATAAATAAGCTAAAGGATATATTGTTTAACACAGAGAATATAGTCAATATTTTATAACTAAAAATAGAATATAACCTTTAAAAGTTGTGAATCACTATGCTGTACACCAGAAATTTATACAATATTGTACATCAACTATCTCAATACATTTTTAAAATTAATAATAAAAAATAAAATGTGGGGGAAAAAAAGAGCTTGAATACCCTAGATACCACTCTCTAAGGAAACCCAGGGCAAACAGAGAAGCCACAGGGTGTGATTCTGTCAACAGCTGTAGCTGAGGTTCCAGCTGACAGCATCAAATGCTAAATATGTGAGTGAGACGTCAGATGATTCCATCCATCTGTTGGGTTATCTCTAGCTGTTGAGATAAAGTTGCAGCTGAAGTTGCAGATGTTGTAAAGAAGAAACAGTCATTACTACTGTACCCTGTCCAATTTTCTGACCTATAAAACCAAAGCACATAACAAAATTGTTTTAGCCACAAAATTTTGAGAGAATTTGTTGCACAACACTAGTAACTGGAAGAATATGTGACTCTTAAATTATTTTTCTGGAAGTTTTCAGGGTTTTATACTTGTTTTCAGCATTCTGAAAGTTTATGACGGTCATTTTACCCATTATAATGGGCACAAAGTGTGTAGTTTCAATCTGAGAAAAGTCCTTAGCATTCAGTTCTTGGAAATTTTCTTGAACTGTGTCAGCAGTAATATTTTCTCTCTATTGTCTCTTTTCCTGGTGCTCCTCTTATTTAGATATCAGACCTCCTGGGCTAATCTTCTAAATTTCTCAGTTCTTATTTATTTTATCTTGCTTTCTAGCTCTTAATCTTTCTATTCTAATTCCTGAGATATTTCCCAAAATTTGCTTTCCCTATACTTATCATAGTTTTAACTTCCAAGACATTTTTAGGCATCCTATTCTTTTTTCAAATGTAATTTTTCTTTCTCTCTGTACTAGGATATAGATAACCATTTTGGTGGTGTTGTTTGCGTAGTTGTTTGTTTTTCTTTCTCTTCTACTGAAATAATCTCTGTTGCCTTTGTCTGTCTTTGGTCTGTTTCTTTGATTTTGTTCTGATCCTTGGTTGTTTTCAATATTTAAGAATGGGGCACTAAAATTGGGGAGAAGTAGTTGATTGTGGGTTTACTGCCTGATATCCTAGCTGGGTTATTTCTTTGGGGAAATCTCTGTGTCATTACTTTTATCTTCATTTGGGGTGGGGGAAGAAGGGCTGGTCAGATTCTAAAAGAGTGATTGTCCAACTTCCTATCTGAGTGGAAAGGTCTAGCTGTCAGCATCTGGAAGTCAAGTGGGGAAGAGGGTTGAGTGACATTTCTACCTGGCACTCTTCATCTATGTGCACTGTCTTTCCTGACAATAAACCTCTAGCATCCAAGAGGAGAGGACAGTTGCTTAGTTACGTGGAATGGGAGAGGTAGCCTGACATCTAACTTAGACTCTCAGTCGTCCTCCGATGTCCTACTTTTTTCCTCTAGATCCTTCAATTCCTGTGCTTTTAAGGTTTTGCAGTATGAATTTTACTATTTCCTTGTTTTTCCTTACTGGCTTAAGATTTAGCTTTTATGATTCAGTTTTGATGCTGCTAAATCAGTTGTCACTTATCCATTTCTCTTATAGCTGCTGAAATTTTGTGACTGTCATTTTCTTTCCTTTTCCTTTTGTCCTTGAATAACATGCTTTTTAGATAGCTCTTTTATATGATTTTAATGGAATCCTGGGAGGCAGAAAAAATAAATGTATGTACTCAGTCTACTATCTGAACATCTGTCTAAACCTGCACATCAACAGATTCTCTGCAGTACAATTTAGGATTTGTTAGCTAATCTAGATATATCTTATTAAGTTTCTTTTCCTGTAAGATTAGTATATTTTTATGCTGTAGTTTCCATGTGGTCAAACATTTAGGTTTCATTTCTATTTGTTATCAAGAAGTTGAAAATGATGGCATGTTATGAAAGTTGCTAGAATATCTTTGATGATCTTTAACTGAGAATTTATTTTAAAGTGTTACTGTACATGTGCCAATATAAAAGAGCAAATTCCAAGAGCTTTGTCGTACAAGAAAAAGGGCATATGAGGTTTCTACACATATCCTCGGGATACAGTAAGGGAAAGCATCCAACTTGGTAAAGTTAATTCTTAAATGATTTAATTTCACAAGGACTATTTAAAACGTTCCCTTTCTGATTGGGGGTGCTGGTGAATGTTGAGGAAGGGGGTGGCCATACGGCTGCCAACTAAATCTTTTTCTAGATATACTAAGAAACCTGATTTTTTCAAAGGAGGATTTTTTTGGTTTTGTTTTGTGTTTTTTAATTAATTTTTTGTTTTTGTTTGTTCATTTTACATTTCTATTCTCTGACCATGCCCTGAGCCATTAACTCAGCTAATCTGATAGCTCTGACTTCACATGGCCAGCATCAAATACAGTTGTGGCCATGGACCCTAGAGTTGATCCTATCATTTGTTTTTAACTTTCTAGGGGTAGTCCATTTCCTGATTTGTTCCTGTTCTTGGTTTCTGACCTCTTGGCTGTTCTGTTGCCTATGATTTCATATTCGTCCCTTGATCTTAGGGCTGATATGGCTCCTTCTGTGCTCTTACGTAGCTCTGCTCCTTGGAATGGGCTTGTCTAAGCCCCCGGCTAATAACCCTGCATGATTCAGTCTGGCCTCTGACATCCCAGCTCAGGATTGCCCACTTCACTTGTGTGTTAGCAGGTTTAACCTGGCGCTGTCATTCAGACTCACGCCATACTGGTAACCAAAGAATGGTCTGTTGGATTGCAGAGTAATTTGCTGTTCAGTGGATAGCATCTCTTTTATTCCCTTAAACACAAAAGTTAAATACGTTTTATGTATAATTCTGAGCCTGTGATGAGCTGAGTGGTATCTTGTGTTTCAGTACTTAAAAAAGTACTTATTTATGTTAACTAAAATAGAGTTGGCTTATGTTATTATGTTAGTTTCAGGTGTACTACACAGTGATTTGACATTTGCATACATTACAAAGTGATTGCCATGGTAAGTCTATTAACCATCTGTCCCCAGAGTTATTATACTATTATTGATCATATTCCTTATGTTGATCACATCCCCATAGCTTATTTATTTTATAACAGAAAATGTTATATACGACCTTTGAATTGTTCCAGAAAATGTCCTAAGTATTGGTCTAGTTGAGACCTTATTTCCTTCGAACAAATTCAAGCCATGTACTGTACAAAGCCCAGGGAATGTTTCTAGAATTTCATCCAATATTAGCTTGAATTTTTTTATTTAACAAATGTTAGTGCCAATTTGACAGGTGTCAAGGATGCCCAGCCTATCCAGAGAATTGTGAGAAATAGTAAGTGGTTGCTAGCTAAACCACTAAGATTTGGGCTGATTTGTTATGGAGCATTATTGTGACAATAGATAACTGATACAAATTCAGTATCCTGAAGTAGGATGCTACTATGAAAAAACTTATACGTGGCATAGGTTTCTGATTTAGGTGGCAGATATAGGCTTTTAAGTGGCAAGGAAACTGTTCACAAAAACTGGAAGAGAAGTAAAGAAACTGTTGCAGCAAGCTGGAAAAATTGTGTCCCATGTTAAATAGTGGCAAAACAATTTGCAAAACTGTCACCTGTGGGAACTGGAAAAATAAAAAATGTACTCAGTGACTTTTGACTTGAGTAGGGAGATTGTCACACAGAATGTTAAAACTGTCAGGTATC